GACTTAAAGTTGGTCTGAAACACAAAAAGATAAACATCTCTAACACTCGAGTAAGTTGATTTGTAGGTGTTTGAATTGCAAGTTGATTTGTTGGTGTTTGAATTGCAAGTTGATTTGTTGGTGTTTGAATTGCAACACTTAGAATGATATTATTTTATCAGAAATCTACAATAACTGTAGTGCTATCTGAAATACTGATGATGTTATGAGATAAGTTTTCTTTAAATTGTTTTTGAACATGGCTCAGGGAGATTGAACAGCGATTTAGGATATGGTCCAATGCAATGTTAGGATGGAATAACATGTGATATTTTCATTCTCAGTTTCTGCACGAGAATCTGTGCATAGTATTGAATTGTAGGAGTTTTACCATCCCTAGGATCCTCTAATATCTTCTTTTGTTGTGGTTAGCATAAGTAGCATGTGTATGGCTATGGGTAAATTTAGGGAAGAACTGAATTTTAGTGAGATATTTGTGGATAAAATGTCTTTTAAGTTTTATATTTGACGAGTACAGAATTCTCGGTTGTTTTATCTCAAGCATTTGCTGCAGTTCAGATTTATGTACAGGTTGTCTTTGAATAAAGTGATAGATTATTAGTTATGAAGATATAATTTCTTATTGTTCCATGACTCGGATAACTGCAGCAATGGAGTTCTTCTCTTCCATATATGGATTAGAATAACACTGCTCAGCTCAATGCATTTACTGTGGCCAATTTCTTCTTCCGAACTTATGATGGCTTTTATGTTTGCAAAGAGCTCATACTTTTGACTTATTAATGAAGTCTGTAAGAAAACAAAGCTCTGCAACTTATTATTAAAGTCTATATGTAAACAAGAAAAGGCTTTCCATGTCGCTTTTTTTAATTGGGCCAGAAACTAAAGATTGGGTACCCATTCTTGATTAATTATATTGGGGAAACAAGTAATAATCCTTTGGAGAAGCTTAATGTGTCATAGTTAGGAGAGTCTTAGTAGAACTTTTTGTGTGCTTTCGACAGTTTATTTCACGTAAACAGTTCAGTAATAAACTGGTTTTACTTGTGTGATTTCAAAAGACAAGCTACCACCTTTTCTTAGTTCTATGAAAATTTGTCTATTAAGATGCAGACTGCTGGTAGTAGAAGCAAAATTATCATGATATTTATTGAAAATATGATCAGTTTGAAGTTATGGGGAGTCATTTTTATTTTGTAATTGACAAATTATCTTACTGTTTTGGTTTCACTGCTAAAGCTTTTGAAGTATTCTAGGTGGCCTGGGAGCATGAGCAATTTTCGAGACTGAGAGTCACTGCTGCAACACTCTCGGAGCTTTCTGTTGCACCTGAATTGCTGCAAAGCACTGGAGGTCTATCGGATAGCAGGTTGTAATTGGGAACCAAATATAGTATTTTCTTAAACAATTTTTTGCATTATTTCCCATTTCTTGAGTTTCAGATTTCCTGTACAGACATTTTGTTGATGAAGCTTCAATAAGTCGAAGTGTCAAGTTAGTTGCTGAAAGTCTTGCGGTAAGATCTCATAGTTAATGTTCTGTAGGGTACAACCTTGTCGTTTGATTGTAATGTTCTGTTGAAATGTGCACAATCCTGCACCACAACTCCTCCCTTACACTGCCCTCTGCTTGTAATGAAGATGAAAAAATTTCTTGTGTTCTTGCACACCTGCAGTTTGTGAATGGCTGCACAGATGAGTTTCATGTCAAAAAATGCACTACTTGGCTGCAAATATGATGTATTTCCATTTTCATCTGGGATATAGTGTTGCAGTATATTTTGATAGAGTTCCTATTAGAAAAGATGGATGGCAGCATGTTCAACCGAATGGATGTTCTAGAATCTGGATCTAATGCAACCCTCTAGATTCTACTGAATTTTAATTTCATTGGTGACATGTCAATCTAAACAAAAGATAATACTTGGTTGTCCGTTGGTGGAGGAATAACTTGTAAGGAGCTCACGTGTCGATTAATATTTGGACTTAAATTGAACAGATGCCTCTGCTGTTGTCTATTTTGTTAATTTTGGTTACGGCTAAATTATATTAAGGGTTTGGGTGGTTGCAAGTGAAGAAATTTATTTATGTATAGTTTGTTGGTTGATCTCTTCTGGTGCCTAAAGGCAGAACAAATGAACAATGGTTCTGGTAACATGTTAATTAGAGTGCACATGCTAACCAAAGGTCTCGTTCACATACGATTACTCATGCGGATATTGAAGAGAGAGATAATATTTAATAGTTCAAGTGTTGGTTGAGATCTTAACTTTGCAATTTATTTTCTGAATCCTTGCTTTGCAGTTTTGTAAAATAAACGTTGTAGAATTTTGCCATACGTGTTTGCTTTGTTTCTTGCTTGTGCATGTCCGCATGTCTCTGTCACTTTTATAGAAATGGTGAGCACTGAGTACATGCATATTTCTTGACAACTCGGTGCATAAACAGCGATCTTGTTACTTTAAATCAACAGTTTCATGCTTATTTATTTCATGGAGAAAGTTTTGATGCAGTAATAATGAGTAGATACACCCAAAATCAGTTAATCACGGCCATACTAGTTTATGATTAAAATTTTACTGAACTAATTTATTATATTAAATGATTTTGCTTGTCCTAACGGGTGTGTTCCTTATATACAGAGACATATTTATGACCTGAAGGGGAAAGACGTCAATATATTTGCAGACAATAGTAGTTTAGCTGTCAATCCTTCATATATACGTTCATGGTTAGACCTTTTGTCAACAACGCCTCGAGTGGCACCGTTTCTTTCGAAAACCGATCCTCTCATCATGGCACTGAAAAAGGTAAATCTTGAGGTACTTGAATTTAAGTTGATTGTTTATCCATGCGATCCTACCATTTTTAATTAGACGTGTTTATCCAATACACGTTCTTATTGTACATAACGTATTATCTTTAGGATAAATAACCTGCGCAAGTTTCATTGACTGCAAAAAAGTGTAATGAAAGTACAAAAGGGTAATATAGTTATACCAATCATAGCTCCCAGTATAAACAAACACAAAAACCGTAGCAACAAACAATTAAAAAAAACACCAATCTAATGGAATTGGTTCAGAGTAATCATCCACCAGCAATAAAATTTGACAGTATTTTTTTTTTTGTTGCTAGGAATTAGCAGATCATACCATTGAGGTAAATGTACAACAGGAAGTTCTTGATGGGATATTCACTTTTTATGATTCAACAACTGGCAGGTTGCATATATATCAGGTGTGTATTTAACATTTTTATGTTGATTGCATTGATGCACTGACGCAGACACGTGTGTTCGACTTGCAATTTTTTAAAAAATACTGACACAAAACGATGATTAAATTTTTTAAAATTCTTCATTATATAATATAAATTTAGTTTTATACTTGTGAACCTTGTTGAAATCTTTTAAATATGACTACATATTTGTTATTTATTAATAATTTTGAGTTAAAAATATATTATTTTTCTAATAAAAAAAGAAAATCGATCACGGTAGATTGTCCAAGGAGTGTCAGACACGGACATTAGCCCCTAGTTGAAGTGTCCGGGCAACAAAGGTTGATTGTGTAGCTTGTCTTGACTCGAGAGCCTCATTAAGCATCGACTGTCCTAAGAACCCATCCCTCTCCTTTGATCGAGGGAATGAAAAGTTAATGAAGTCACGTCAATTTTTGAATCATTTGGTTCTAAAATATAGCTCGATGCACTTTACGTATCTAATAAATGGACCGACATTTTTGATGATATACTGCAGGTTGTCAGCGTAACATTCGACTTACTTTTGCTGCTAGTTCTCGGATCATACTTGATTGTTCTTTTCAGTTTTCTAGTCATCACAACCCGGGTATGATCCTTAACGAAGTTTCCCTCTCCATCCACTTGTCTGCACATTCTATTCAGGAAATGCAAAAAGTTTCTCTATACATGCCTTCTTTACGAAGAACTAGTTATCTAAAAAGAGAGTTAACATCTTTGCAAATGCTGATTTTATCTCTCAACAGGGTCTTGATGATCTCATCAGTCTATTTCGTCGTCCCCCCTCCCGCAAAGTGAAAACAGCTTGATTATGTAGCTGGGTAAATTGCCACCAGGGCACTTCCGAAATTGGATATGCAGATTAATTTTTGCAGCTTAAATGGACATTGAACTTCAGATGAGTTCTCTCTAATGGTCCCCATGTACGTGTAGGTTAACTTAATTGTCATCGAGAAAACTAGCATTTTTTGAGTCAGTCAGTTGTTTCCTTTCCTTTTCCTCAGGGATCACTAAGCTACTAGAACATTTTTGTTGTCGAGTTTACTGTGTAATCCTGCTGCCGGCTCTTCTTACAAAGAAATATAGCTTCCATGTCCCAAATAGTACCATTAAGTACATTTATCATCTGTTACTGTACTACAACTTACTTGGCTTGAAATCAACAGGCACCTTTGCCATGGCATTGTTGCACGAGCTTGCAGTGCTTTGCTTTACCTTTGCCATGGCATTGTGGCACGATTTTGCAGTGCTTTGCTTTAATTCAAACTCTCTTATTTGGATAAGAAATACAGCTTAATGATTTGGTAAATTCAAAGGATGAAGTTGTACTTTTATTGCACTATGCAATTATATAATTTCTGTGATATGCATTCGCGTTTTTTTTTTCCTCGTCTCTCTACGGATATGTTCATTTGACTGCTTTTAGGAGATTGGATTTACTATAGTTTAAACTTTCTTAATATTCAACATATTAAAAATACTGTAATGAATTTGAGTACAATTACGAGATTCAAAGGAGATTTCCAGTGTAGCTCAACAAACCGATCAAGACCAGAAACAGAAATTAAAACCAAAACTGACAACCTCGCCAACGAAATTCTACACAGTACATCTTACATGTATTTTTCCTCTTTTTTGGGGGGAAAAAAAACTATAATGGATGGAGATTTCACTCTCCCTATGGAAGGGTAGTACGCAGACGTATGCCATTTGAAAATCGCATAAGTTTCTTCGAAGAGATTATGAAGAATGAGCATTCTGCATTGCTTGGTAAACCATGTCGATAAATTGGTTGTCCTATACATGAAAATGGAAGTGCATAAGATAACAGATAATCAGATGTACTAAAAAATTAAAAATGGCAACTATACATAAAAAGGGATAGTGAACATAATAGTCAAGATACGTGATTAAAATTCCAAAAGATGTATACAATAGTGGGACAGGAGAAGTATTTAACTTCGGCATTGAAAAAAGGATTTCATCAAAAAACCATTTACTACTTCATCAGATTTAGGGGTTAAATATTTAAGGAAATCAGGCATAAAAGGCTTGCCTTCACACAGTTGCATGGAAACAAATATTAATCTCAAAAATCACTTTCAGGACCATGCATAAAGTTGAAATCACGAGTCACAAGATGTATTTCTTTCCAATTTATCCCTTTCTATGTTGTCCGCTCCCATTCATTTCAACTTTTGCAGTATATCTATTTTTAAACAAACTAATCTATAGCCTCTAGATAAATATCCATGACGTAGCTATTCAGTATTATATCTGGTCTAAAGATGAAGTCGACATGCCGAAATGTCACTTACATTGGGATTTGGGATTGAAATTGCCTTGGTTATAGTCGATGAAGTTTTTTGATGATTGAATGGTTTAAATAACACCCCTAAACAATATAGACTAGAAGACTGGAGGCTTTTCAAGAGGCAATCATGGAGCTGGTGACTGATAATATTTTCAGGATTGCAGCTAGTGCGCTGCTGATTTCGCTAAATCCCATGTAATATTTCCCATTGGGAACTAAAGATCCTTACCGTTAGGTTGTCATGAAGTAAATGAGAAGCACAAGCATGGGCGACTTTTGAGATTGATTATAAGAATTCGATACTCATACATCTTTGCCTAGTTAGTTCGTGGTCTCTCAAGATATAATAGGAGCTTCTATTTTTCCACTTGTTCACATCACCATATTTCAGCACATTCTCCTGGGGCTAATGTCAGACTTGTGATCCAAAAGAATCATAAGCCAGTCCTGGTTTAGAATTTCAGCGCGATGAGTACAATAGCGTGCTAAACCAACCACCCAGCACAATTTTCAAGATACTAAAGATAGACCTTCAGATAAATTTCATTGCATTACCAAATCAATGAAATGAAATAAAGCATGCAGCACAATGATCGACAACATCATCACATCAAAGATAAGCTGCTGATTTAAAGTCTGGGAGACTTGTGCTAGGGACTGGCAAAAAACGCTGGCTGAGTGACAACTGAAGTCAAAGAGCATACCTGAATGAGTATCACGAGTGCCTCACGGACTTTGTCTCTGTTTACAACAGGTCCATAATTTGGCATAGAAACAGAAGTTGGAGTGAGTGAAGGTGGGGGGGTCGGTGGTGGAAATGGTTGAAGTAAAGGAGCACCATACGGTCGCCGTAGATTTCTAGGAGGATTAAGTGGAGGGGCAGTAGGTATAGATGAAGAGATGGGAGGCCTCACAAGTGAAGAAGAGGAAGGAGGTGGACCGAAAAATGATGATGGCTTTACCAGATCAGTAGAATGCTTACTACAACTGATGGGCTCAGGTGCGTCAAGAATGGGCATTATAGAGGTAGATGTTGACAGGAGAGATGGAGTCTGGACAGCTGTTAAAGCTGGCGGATGAGAATAACTTGCAATTGGTGCAGACAACTGATAAGATTGTCCAGGAGTTGATGCATTTGACGTGTTCCCAATATTCATCGCCGTCTACAGAAAAAAGAGTCAATTTTCAATCTAGCTTATTACAAATTGAAAACAATTAAATCAATCAATGCAACAGCTGCAGATCTTTCACCGAGAACAACCATAAATACAAATTATAAGAGCAGTGTGTGTGAGTAAAACAATAATCAAAGAGTTCTATTTAGAAAATGTTAAAAACAAGATTTTGTATAAAGAATAATGTGGTTCTTTAACAGTCCAACACAAATAGCATAAAGCATAGAAGGTCCAACACTTGCTGTGTAAACTTGTCGTTAACCTAGTAAGGAATAAGGATCTTCCTATCACATAAAATTCATTAACACTTCTCCTTGTCATTCAACCCTCTAGTTGTGTATAATACATTCAACTAATAAGATTGCCAGTTTTTAGTGCATGAAAGGTTAAGAGTTCTTGCTCTGCACTCAACAGATGGTAAAAAATGGCTGGTGTGTAGTGGCAGCATAATGTCGAATGTTGAATGACGTCTCCAGGCGTAATGAGTGAAGGTGGCAGTTTTGTATCTATTATGATGGATATGAACATGAAAGTTTCAGCATTCTGTGGCAATGCGGATGTGAACTTGAAGTTTGGGATTTTTTCTTCATGAAGATAGGGCAATACCTTAAATGTGTTTCAAGTATTTTTGTTCTGGCCTGTTATATTCAAATGGCTAATATATGGATTGGTATAGTACTGTTAATTACAAAGGCATACTAAGATTTTCACACTGATAGAGGGAGAAGATGGTGGAAGTGTACAATGCATATTCATTGAATAGTTCCAGTACAGCACAATAATTAGGAGCACATTGACAATACAATATATAAAATAATTGACAGATGTAGAAAGATGGATAACAGCACTAGGATGGCCATGGGCTGTACAGAGAAAGCTGAATTGCTGTTTGAATAACTAATTAGATCTAGTGGTGGCAAAAAAGCTCGCCGGCTCGGACGGCTCAGGCTCAGCCAGGAAAAAGCCCGAGCAGGGCCCGGTTTTGGGGGGGCGGCCTGTGATTATTTAAAAAAAATTTAAAAATAATAAAAAAAATTTTTAAAGCTAAAATAACTGAAAA